TCATCCCTGCTCCACTGACCACCTCTACCCTTATTTCCAATGAGCTACTTTTCATCGTAAATTCTGCCTTTGAAGGCACATAGGAATTAGATGTAGTGGAGGTTACCATTGATCCAAGTGCACATCTGATACTTGGCAGTAGAAATTAGTATTAAAAGGAAGAGGAGTCTTTCACGCAGGGTCAACCTTCCGTTGGACAAAGTCCAACGAGGGGGGGGGGTCGTATGCGGAGACGAAAAGGGTGGGAATTGGATTCGATCGGATAGACGCCCCCCCCCCCCGTTCGACGGCTACTTAAGGAAATGTGGGTGGGTTAGCTGTAGTCAAGTGGGCTCAGGAATCATATGCTATATGTAAAGCTTCTGATGGTAAGGGTATTGGTGAACCTCCTGAGTATCAGGATGGTGGAGGGCCGGTCGTGAAAATTTTCCAAAAAGTACCAACTGTAGTGTTGATTCTGTGGGGGTCGTATCGAAGGCCCCTACAAAAACGAGGGGTCGTAAAATTTTCTTTGCCCCAGCCGTGACCATTATAATCCTGTCCTGCTTTCACGCGTTCTCTGGAGAGCTGTTCGTCTTTTAAAAATCTAGAGATCTCGTATTTCTAATGAAATGGCATAAGGAAGTTTTCTGGGAAAAATTCATGAAAAAGTTTGCAGAAAGACAATTTTTGACGATCGACCCTGACGGTGATAATTCGAGTAATGCAAAAGTGTTGACTGACTTGCAGAGGCATGTAGTTGTACGAGTAGATAGCCATCAATGCTTGAATTATTGAATTCATGGGCAATTCATGGCACTTTTCGGAAAATTATATTAAAGCCTAGAAATCTTTTTTCATCATAATATAACCCAATAGCTAATTGGTACTTCCCCATACCGCCTTGGTTCTTCATGGTGTCCTGTTCTGATGCGATTATTTCATTTTTCTACCAGGAAGTTTTCAAGGGAAGGTTGACTCAACAGAAACCCGGTCTTTTCTTCCGATCACACAGTACAGAACCCAACCACTTGAAAACATAATATTAATTTTTTTCCTACTCGAGGACACCGCTGTGACAATTCTTCGAAGGTACTCGTCCTTCACGCGAATCGGCCGCATTATCGCGTGCAAGTCGAACTCTGAACAATGAAGTAAATGCTGACCTTTAGTAATGGTGATTGATTAGCCTAATGCTATTTACTGGGGTCGACTGAAGAGAGGTGGACGGACACTCACTTCACCGACAACCTTCTTAATGGGCCTAGAGTAAAAACCCTTTTGCTGGGAGGATTTTGGAACAAAATTCCTCTCAATCTCCAACAAAGGTCGACTAGAGGTTTTTTGCTAACCGCATTCGGCAGGTGGAATCCGAAACCTGTGTTGCGGGTAAACGGATAGCAAAAGGAACACACAAGGAGTGCTAATTTACGAAATTCGGAGTTTTTAATAAGCTTCCCTTTTTGCAGGAAAGGGATACAGACGATCTTCTTGAATAAAACGCTTAGATGCGCCACGTATTCAATTTCCTTCCAAGTCGCGGAAATGGTCGAGTGTGGTTTTCTGCTCATACATTGCCCGAAAAGCAGCATTGGTCATGTCAGTGATTCACTCCTCCCAAACAGGGATGCCATTAAGTATCATTGTACTCTCCA